ATTATATGGTAACTGATTCTCAACTTTGTGAGAATCACGACATTAAAGGATGTGTTCTCATTTGCAGACGAGATGACATATGTTAATCTGCAACTGAATCCTGAACGGTACACTGGCTATAGTGGGCCATCAGCCAGAAGAATATGGGATGCTATATATTCAGAAAATTGTCCAAAATGTGAGATTATTTCTTCAGATACTTCTATCATGTTGGCATATGAGCTTTTGAAAGATGATTGTATGATATTATTCATACCCACATAAATTGAATTGCGTTATGAACTAACCTTTAGTGTTAAAACGTGTCAAATGCCCTGCTGAATGAATTGTAGTGGTCCTTCTAGCTGGTGTTGTGTCCTCTTCATGTATGAAGATGGTCTTACTTTTTTTTGTGAATAAACTTCAGAATTATCTACAAATTGAAATTTATTGTTTGACTTGTAGAACAATGGCAGGTGATTTACCACAAGGAATGATTTTGTCCTTCAATCTCTTGTTTCCCATCTGTCCTGATCCTTCTATTGCATTAGTATATTGCTATTGCTCTCATAATTTTTCCTTTTTCCAATTACATTGAGCATAGTCTTTCTTTACCTTTTGGTTGGTGCTGGGATATTCGTTATGCAATTCAAATATTCCCAGATAATCCTCTACATCAATGATAACTACTCGGGAATTATGTTTCGTACTATGATAGTAAGTTCAACTGTATGACCATTTTTCTTTCCAGATGCATCTGGAGAAATTTGCAAGGAGAAAAAAATCTTATACAAGTTAATATCGGGCCTTCACTCCTCGATTTCAATTCACATTGCTTCTGACTACCTACTTGATGAAACTACAAATTGGGTACAAATTTTCCCCTCGTTTCCTTCAAGATTTTATTTACATATTCTTCCGTTATTTCCTTACTTTATTCTATGTTGTGAAGAACCTTTAGACAGGAAGCAGTCAAAATATACCTGAGAACATGCATGGATATTAGTTTTAAATCAGCTTTACTGAAATAGAAACCATCTTGCTTTAAAAAAGTACCTAATCAATTTGCTTCTCTTTCAGTGGGGCAGAAATCTGGAGCTAGCGTATGATCGAGTTTTGCAGTATCCTGATCGTGTTGGGAACTTGTATTTCACTTTCCTCTTTGTTCTTCGAGCTGTGACAAAAGTAAGCTCTTCTGGTATTTTGTTCCTGATTTATAAATAACTCTCTCTTAAGTACACTCTCAGTCATTTCACTCTTGATATCATATGCAGGCAACTAATTACTTGGAGCAGGCTGAATATGATACCGGTAACACTCAGGAGGACCTGAAAGCACAATCTTTAGTGCGTCACTTACTGTACAATCCAAAACTGCAGGCTGCATGTCCACTTCCATTCGATGAAGCTAAATTGTGGAAAGGACAAAGTGGGCCTGAACTGAAGCAGGAGATCCAAAAGCACTTCCGAAACATCAGGTTTCTATCTTAATTTCCAACGTACTTGATTATTAGCTATGATGAATTATCATTCTGAAAGTCTCAGGGTTGATTTCCTTAACGCAATCTGGATTCTAAATAACCTCGTTCTTGTTCAACAACTCTATCTTTATCAGAGATGAGTTGTGCTGTGAACTTTTGGGGAATAGAGAATGGATCATGTTTAAGTTAGTTTATTTGTCATAAAATTGATGAAGTTGCAATTATTCATTGTGAATTCTTCTATTTTATTGATTTGACAATTTTTTGGGGTCTAAGTCTCTGCTACTCTTCTGCATACTGCAGTGCTATCATGGATTGTGTGGGATGTGAGAAATGTCGTCTATGGGGAAAACTTCAGGTTCTTGGTCTCGGGACTGCGTTGAAGATTCTTTTCTCTGTTGATAGCCAAAACTATCCAAATCAGCCTGTAAGTTCCATATGTCAGGGATTAATGTTATACTACTTGAGGCATTAGTATAACTCTTCTTTCTTTCTATCTCTCAGCTACAATTGCAACGAAACGAAGTAATTGCTTTGGTGAACCTGCTTAATCGACTATCAGAATCCATCAAATTTGTCGAAGAAATTGTCCCTTCAGTTGAGAAGACAATGGAGAAATTCACCTCAGAACCTCCTGCACAAGAAATTAGCTTATGGCAAAGA